AGACTGTGGTATGGTCATGGTTCTATATCTTAAGAGACTGCCAGGTCATGAAGTAAAGAAGGGAATGGGGTAAGGAGGGTAAAACAAGAGTGAAGGAGTTCCTTTTTTGCTTGCCTAGTGTATAAAACGAGATTGAAAAAAATGATGCCCCCCAAAGTTTCGAATTCCATGCAGGAAGTGAAAAACGACCCTCCCCTAATGTACAGTTTCATAGAAAGCCCACCTATTTTAAGGAGTTCAAAAATGCGTGACCCACCCCCTGTTTTTACCGTCCACCCTTTACTTTATGACCAGTCCCTAAGAAACGTTTTATTCCTCATTTTCCATACATTTKTTCACTGGTCAAACCAAAGCGATCAAGCGAGGCGCCAAGATACTTTCAAAGGATTATTCAAATTTGAACCTTGCAACCTCGACTGAATTAATGCTTTGTGTTTGACCAGTRAACCGATGTATGGAAAATGGTGAATAGTCAGTCTGTTTTGGGGAAAAAAAGTTAAACTATTTTTTCGCATGTCCTGTCATGAAACAGTTGGGCAAATAGAAAACCATCCGTGTTAACTGGTTCACGAYAGGATTCGTATGCTTTAGAGGGGGCAAATGGGAGTAGTTGAGGGTTACTTCGTCAAACCCTGTTTCCTGGATGTACTTCCCAGTCTCCCGATCCAAGTGACAMCCATCAAATAGGCGAGGCCATATGCCTGTTTGTGACGAGAAGAACTTCTGCAGCTTTCTCCTCAACGTACCTGGCTCATCTAGAGGGAAAGTAGTTTTGAACAGAGGYTTTGCACTATCACGTAATGGCAGCCATGACTGGAACAATGATTGAGTCTGATCTAATCTGATTTACGTGAGAAATATTTCAGTTTCCAAGGGGGAAAGGACTGTRTTGTTGTTCCTTCTACAATGGCTGCCATCACGTGATGGTGCAAAGCTTAAGGTTTTATTATTAATATTATCAATGATGACGATGATGGTGGTGATGCTGATGCTGATGCTGATGATGCTGATAATGGTGACCCAAGTCCATAACTAGACTGACGGTGATGATGATGACACATTGATGACTTACCTAATACATGCTCGAAGAAATAAAAGCAGCCGTCCTAAAAACAGACAAAAATACATGAGTTTTTTTCAATTACCTTTGTGTGAAAGTTTTCTTTTTGATTTTCTCTCCATCTCTAGATCTTTTAAAAAACCGACACAGGAATGTTCCTTTACTTTTTAAGAGTCCCCCGTTGTTTCTTGCATATGCATTTCTACATTTTTTCATTATCTCGGGTCTCTCTCTCCGTCCTTCTTGAATTTTTTGTTGCCCTTTTTCTTTCTTTCTCTCTATCACGAGCAAACAATAACAGAATGTTAGACTGATAAATTGAATGAAAACCCTTTCTTTTTATCAATTCTTCTTAAGTGCCACGCACTCAAGGGCGTATCCAGGATTTGTAATTGGGGGGGTCCTTACATACCAAATTGTCAATATGACGTCATATGACGTCAATATGACATCATAGCAATCTATTGTTTTGACGAAAAAGAATCATGGTCGATAGAGGGGAACAGAACAGACTCCGAGAAGCGCGAAAACTGATTTTCTTAACTGCTTAAGTTAAGTCTAAACAAATCTTCTCACGGCCGGTTAGATTTTCTTGGCTTTGAAAAGGGGGGTCACGGCACCCCCCCCCCCCCCGGATACGCCCCTGGCACTACAAACAAAATTGGTCTTATCATCACGGTCATTTTCATGAATTACACGACTCTCCCAATTGCTGACAATAATTCGTGACATTAGATTCCGTCAATTAAATTTCCAGCGGTCTGAGGCTTATAGTATATATGGCAACTGAACTATGCATTACTGAAGAAGATAACAGAGGTTCCTGAAAGGGTAAAATCAGAGTTGGGATTCGCGTTTTTTGGGTTGGGGAAATGGCATCTTATGCACTGGGAAT